AGTGTAAGATGTGATAAATCTCACCACAATTTGTGTGAGGCAATCAATATGATTTAAAGAAAAAGATTACAATGTAAAACAGGAAATTACATCATAATAATGAGAGAATAAATGGTAGGATATTAGTCCTGATAACTAGCTCTTAACACCCCCCGTCAAGCTAAGCGTTGGATTGAGACCAACACGAAGCTTGGATCGAAACAATTCAAACAACGGACGAGGCAACGCCTTTGTAAAAATATCAGCAAGTTGTAGAGAAGTAGGAACATGGCGAACAGCCAAGCGACCAGAGGCAACTAACTCACGGATGAAGTGACAATCCAAATCAATATGCTTAGCATGCTTATGAGCAACAGGATTCTGAGCCATAAACAATGCACTTTGATTATCACTGAGAAGGAGAGGAGTCGCAGACAACCCAACACGAAGTTCACGAAGGAGATTGAGCAACCAAACAAGTTCAGAAGCTGTGTTGGCCATGGCCCGGTACTCAGATTCACAACTAGAGCGGGCAACAGTAGGTTGTTTCTTGGCACTCCAAGACAAAAGATTGTCACCAAGAAAGATAGCATAGCCATAGGTAGACCGACGAGTGTCCGTGCAGCGAGCCCAATCAGCATCACTATAACCAAGAACCGCGGGAGAAGGTGAGCTGCGAAACGTAAGTCCAAAATGTTGTGTACCACAAACATAACGGAGAATACGTTTGACAGCTTGAAAATGATCAATAGTAGGAGCCTGGAGAAATTGACTTACCGTGTTGACGGCATATGATAAATCAGGGCGAGTAATGGTTAAGTATTGTAAGGCCCCAACCAAAGAGCGGTACTGAGTTGGATCAGAGTAAGCCACTCCATCACTGACAAGATGAAAACCGGCAGCCAATGGGGTCGAGACAGGTTTGGCCTCAAGCATCATAGCTCGGGAAAGCAGATCATGAGCATATTTGGCTTGTCCCAAGAACAAACCATCGGCAGTATAAGTGATCTCAAGACCAAGGAAGTAGCCAAGCTTTCCTAGATATTTAATTGCAAACTCAGCATTAAGACGAGCAATAAATTGAGTGAGAAAGGGGGGATCACTTCCAGTAAGAATAATATCATCCACATAAACCAAGAGGTAGAGAGTGATGCGCCCGCGATAGAAGAAGAACAAGGATGGATCAGCCCTGCTGCAAATAAAACCAGAGCGCATCAGAAAAGAGCTCAAACGTTGAAACCAAGCACGGGGCGCCTGTTTGAGCCCATAGAGAGCCTTGTTCAACCGGCAGACATGAGTCGGAAAACGAGGATCAACAAAGCCAGGAGGTTGTTCCATATAGACAATTTCAGTGAGGTGGCCATGAAGAAAAGCATTTTTTACATCCAACTGATGAAGTGGCCAGCCATTAAGCACGGCAAGTGATAAAATAAGACGAATAGTAGTAGCCTTGACAACCGGACTGAAAGTGAGTGAGTAATCAAAACCTGGAATTTGCGTGAAACCTTGAGCCACCAAACGCGCTTTTAAGCGCTCAATAGTGCCGTCACTTTTGTGTTTGGTACGAAAAACCCATTTACTACCAACAATATTAGGAGCAGATGGACGAGGGACTAAGGTCCAAGTATGATTGTTACGAAGAGCAGAGAGCTCATCCTCCATTGCTGCCAACCATTGAGGATGCTTCATGGCAGATTTAAAACCCTTGGGATCAGCAGCAACATGCAAAGCAGTGAGAAGAGCAGTAGGCTGGTGATGAGCGGGGGCATAACGCGGATTAGGCCGAAAAATGCCATTCTGTGATCTAGTCTGCATACGAACAGCAACCGGGGCTGGTTGAATAGAAGCATCAGAAGAAGCAGGCAACACTATAGGAGAGGTCGATGCTGGGGATGGAGTTCGTGGAGGAGAGACAGGTTCCGATGAAGCAGGTGCAACAGGTGGAGCAGGATGGGGAGCCAGAGCAGCATCCAAGGAAACACATGATGGACAAGACAAGGTAGTAACTGGTGGTGGTCTCGTCGGAAGACTAGAGGAAGCAGACATCGAAGAAGACTTGAAGCCTGTGATTGGTTCATAAAATGAAGAAACCATAAGATCAATGCTAGAAGAAGGAGAACCTGCAAAAGGGAAGCAAGTTTCATCAAATTGAGCATGGCGAGACACATAAATCCTGGAAGTGGTCAGATCTAAGCATTTGAATCCTTTGTGATGACTACTATAACCCAAAAATATGCAAGGAGAACTCCGAGGACTAAATTTATTTTTCATGTATGGGCGCAAGCATGGAAACACACGACAACCAAAAGGATGAAAATTAGCATATGTAGGCGCAACTTGAAATAGAAGTGTGAATGGAATCTGGCCGGATAGCACCTGAGAGGGAACACGATTAATAATATATACCGCAGAACTAAAAGCATCAACCCAATAACGAGTAGGAACATGTGACTGATACAACATTGCAAGACCAATCTCAAGGACATGTCTATGTTTCCGTTCAACCCGACCATTCTGTGCTTGAGTATGCGGGCATGAGAACCGATGAAGCACACCAGAAGAAGCAAATAAATCCTGTACTTTGTTATTCGTGAACTCGGTGCCATTGTCACTTTGGAAAACTTTAATAAATCGAGAAAATTGGTTTTCCACAAAGACTTTGAACCGAACAAGCACATCATAAAAATCTGATTTATGTCGTAATGGATAAAACCAGGTAAAACGAGAGAAATCATCCACAAAAATAACAAAGTAAGAATATCCAGCAACAGAAGCAACTGGAGAGGGTCCCCATAAATCACAATGAATAAGATCAAGAACGGCAGAAGCCCTTTTATTATTGTCATAAAAAACCAAACGTTTACTCTTAGCCATCTGACAAGTAGTGCAACAGATTGGCTTAGGCAAAATAGACGAAACATTTAAATAACCTTGCTGATTTAACTTATTAATAACATCAAAATTAACATGTCCCAAACGAGAGTGCCAAAGTTCAAAAGAGGCACGAGGCAGTGAAGAACTAGTAGTAAGCAACGCTTGTGGTCCTTGATCCATCACATAGAGTCCTTGATCACATCGTCCCCTTGCCAGAACTCTGCCTGTCTTTCGATTCTGAATAACAAAGGAGTCATCCACAAAAATAGCTTTAGCATGATTATCACGAGTCAGTTTGCTAACAGATACAAGATTTTTAGTTAGATTAGGCACAACCAAAACATCTGACAAAGGAACAATATGTGATAAAGAACGAGAACCAACATGAGTAATATTTAAAGAGGTCCCATTACCCACAAAAACACGATCAGTACCATTATAATTTTGGGAATCAGTCAACTGAGACGAAGAAGGTGTCATGTGAGATGTGGCACCGGTGTCCATATACCAATCTGACTGGTTTGAGGTGTCCACCGAGCAACTGGCAGCAAATGCCTGAGCCAAATTAGCAGACTCAGAAGACCGGTCCCAGCGAACAGGACATTTGTTAGCATAATGACCCTGTTCACGACAAATCTGACATCGAGGGACATAAGTGTTGCGACGACCAGAGTTGTTGCGACGTTGACGAGAACCACCATTAGAATTGCCACGGTTACCACCATTAGAACCATCATGGGAATGTCCACGGTTACCACTGCGAGACGACTGATTGCCAGATGAGCGAGGTTGATTGTTCACATAGAAGGCAGCTGGCTGAGAGGGCGTTGGTTCCTCAAGAGATGCCTGAAAAATAGCATGGCTTTCGACCTTACAAAGAATATCAGTAAATCGAGGCAAAGGTACCTGATCAAGCTGACCCGTGGAAAAATTTGCATAGGAGGGACCAAGACCACGAAGGAACCAGTGTACTTTGTCATCATTAGCAATAGGAGCACCAATAGCAGCTAACTGATCACAAATAGTGCGAAATTTCTTTCCATATTCTGTCACAGAGATGGAACCACGACGCATGAGTTGAAGCTCGTCACGGAGGCGCAGTTCACGAGCCTTGCTGCGTGAAGCATAGGCAGTATGCAGAGCATTCCAAATATCCCGAGCAGTGTCAGCACTGAGTGTCTCAGAGAGGGCCTCCTCGGTCAAGGAAGAAAGTAGGAGACTGGTGACATTTCGATCTTGAGCTTGCCATTGAGCGAATCGAGGATTTGGAATAGAATCAAGGATTGGCGACGGTGGTTCAACAGAACCATCAACAATGTGAAACAAATTCTGATTTTGAAGAAGAGAAGTAACCTGTTTACGCCAGAGAAGAAAATTCTCAGAGTTAAGCCGAATGGTGATCATGTGAACCAAGGTAGCAAACGGCAGAGACGGAGGAGTGGTATCGTCAGCCATGAGAGAGGACCGCAAACAGAATTGGACGATCGCACGGTTGGGGGAGAATGTGCGACCGTGGTGGCAGATGACGGCACAAGGGTTTGGAGGCTAGGGTTTGGAACCGTAACCTGATACCATGTAAGATGTGATAAATCTCACCACAATTTGTGTGAGGCAATCAATATGATTTAAAGAAAAAGATTACAATGTAAAACAGGAAATTACATCATAATAATAAGAGAATAAATGGTAGGATATTAGTCCTGATAACTAGTTCTTAACAAGGACAATGAGCAAGTTCAAGGGTGACAGACACACCTTGTCAGAAACGTTTTGCAATGCAGGAGGATTTCTTGGTTCAAGAAAACAGAATGTAGAAAAAAGCAAAATGAGTCAGACTCCTCCCAACCTCCTATACCTTTCCTTTCCTTGAGCAACAAACAAACCAAATTTTGCCCTCTCACCAGTGCTTTATATTTGCAATTATATATATATAAACAATCCTATACTTCCTGTGATAGGATCATTTTCTATCGTGAAAAAATAATATATAATCAGCGAAAGTAAAATAAAAAGATCTTAGCAGTATTTTTTATTCACACGAACTAATACGTTACCTATGAAAATCAAGTGAAGCCCCTTCCAATGAGCTACTTATTATTTGATATTTGTCAAAAAAATTTAATGAATTAATCAGAAGTTTACAAAACCGTGTTTCTCTGTCACCGTTACAGCACAATTATATAACCGTCTTATTTTTCCCACGTAAGAAAGTTTACCATTGTCCCATACTTCTGCTTCCCTCAGCCACTTGTACCATAGTTCCGATTCTGACTGGTGAAAAATTATCAAAAGCTGTCTCTTTTAGCCTGGCCCAGAATTTGCAAATTAAAATTACTTCACTTTTGACCTAAGCTCAATTCATAAAACTGAAAATCTTACTCATGCGCATACATGGCATATATACTCTCTAATAATTTGAAGAGTCTTTTATGTTTCAATTGGTCTCTTATTCTCTCTCTATATTATGTCATATAAAAATAAAAAATTACTCATAAAAAGATAATTATTAAAAAATAAATAAAGAATAAAATGATCCATATAAAAATAAAAATCAAAAATAGTTATTAACAATCATATTTCCTTTATATATTAGTATTATCTAATAAGAAAAGGGCACTACGTACCTGCATTATATTAAAAAAAAATAAAAAAATAAAAAATAAAAAATTACTCATAAAAATATAATTATTAAAAAATAAACAAACGATAAAATAAAAATAAAACACACAAAAAATTTAAAAAAAAATGAATTCTGATAATTTATATTAACTTAAGGTTATTTATATATTAATGTAACTTATATTTATTATAACGAAATTTTAACTAAAATTAACAATTATTCTATAACAATTAACCTTATCATATAATTACAAATTTAATTATTAAGAGAGTTTTTGTCTTGTTACTAATACCATAGTATTATAAATTATCAATACAATAAATTAAAAAAATAATAATTAAGGTGTTAAAGAAAAAATATTATAATATACAACTCAAATATAAATTAACGAGCAGTGTGAGAAAAGTAATTTAAAATTAGAGAAGACAGCTACAGTGATTTATTATTCCAATATCACTCCCCTGAAGAAAAAAAAAATCCACGTAGACTACTCCGGTTCAAAACCTGCTCTTATATACAATGATCTTTTCTCTACTTAATCCAACGGCTAAGAAATGCTTCCCATGGTGGGGATATGTTTGCATATAATAGGGCTGTCCATAGCACAACAAATTGTTCACCTTTTGAGGTTGTGTATGGTTTTAACCCTTTGGCTCCTCTTGATTTATTGCCTATGCCTAGCATTTCTGTTTTTAAGCATAAAGAAGGGCAGGCCAAAGCGGACTATGTGAAGAAGTTACACGAACGTGTTAAGGCTCAAATTGAGAAGAAAAATGAGAGCTACGCGAAACATGCTAACAAAGGGCGAAAGAAAGTTGTGTTTCAACCTGGTGATTGGGTTTGAGTACACATGAGAAAGGAAAGATTTCCGGAACAAAGGAAATCAAAGCTTTTGCCAAGAGGGGATGGTCCCTTTCCAGTACTAGAAAGAATCAATGACAATGCTTACAAGATTGAAGTGCCCGGTGAGTACAATGTTAGTTCCACTTTCAATGTTTCTGATTTATCTCTCTTTGATGTAGATGATGGAGACTTCGATTTGAGGACAAATTTTTCTCAAGAGGGAAGGAATGATGAGGACATGGGAAAGGATTTAGGAGCACTCAAAGGACTTGGAGGACCAATGACTAGGGCAAGGACTAAAAGGGCTAAGGATGCTTTGCAACAAGTTGCGGCCCTTATTCTTGAAGAAATGCCCAATGATGAAGACAATGCCAAGATAGTGAATTGTATCAAGGATTGTGAAGCCTAATTACGCCATTATCTTAGTGGGTGTTTTTAGTACTTGTTATTAGTAAATAAAGGCCTAAAACTCTTGTTAAAGTGGCTACCAACTCTTGTTTGGGCTGCACCACTTATTGGTCTAGTTATTAGGCAAGTTGTTTTTAGTTAAATAAGGTCCAAAACCTTTGGGATGAATCAGCCATGAGACATACTAAAGGGTGCACGAATTTAACATAAATTCCCATGTATTTTATTTTTTTTGTGCATTAATGGTCATAATTGTTAGGCTAGTGGAGTTCATTAATGTATGGCGTTGTTTTTCAGTAGTTTTAATTTAAAGTTCTACCCTTTCTTGAGGTTATTTTATTTTAGTTTATCAATCACATGTTTTACTCTGGAAACCCAATTTACTGATTAGTGAGGCTTGTGATAAATAACAATGTCATCATGATTCATGACATATGACAATATCTTTTTCCTAATTAAGTTTCTCTTTTAAAAAGTAAATGATTAATAAACATGATTTAGTCTCAGTTTTGCTAAGAGAGGATATGTTGAGCCTATAATCCGTCTTGAAGAGTCTTTTCTCTCTGGCGGAACCCTAGAAGCTTCTTCCGCTGCACTCCCTCCCGAGACACACAGGTAAGTTTCGTTCTCCTTTGAATCTGTTCCTTCACACTGTCTTGAATCTTGGCACATTCCACAATCGCTCCGTTCGAGAAGAGGGTTTGTGTTTCGATTGAATGGCGAGCGAAGAGGAAAACGGGGAATTCTACCTGCGTTACTACGTTGGGCACAAGGGGAAGTTCGGGCACGAGTTCCTAGAGTTCGAGTTCAGACCCAACGGAAAACTCCGTTACGCCAACAACTCCAACTACAAAAACGACACCATCATCCGCAAGGAGGTTTACCTCACCCCCGCCGTTCTCCGCGAGTGCCGCCGTATCATCGCCGAGAGCGAGGTAACCCTAACCCTAAGCAACTCTTTATTGTTGTTTTGAAAATAATTGATTGATTGTGCAGATTATGAAGGAAGATGATAACAACTGGCCAGAACCTGATAGAGTGGGGAGGCAGGAGCTGGAGATTGTAATGGGGAACGAGCACATATCCTTCACCACCTCCAAGATTGGCTCTCTTGTTGATGTTCAGAGTAGCGCTGATCCTGAAGGGCTTCGGATCTTTTACTATCTTGTTCAGGTGAGTGAGATTGTGATGGTGATGTTGTTGATTAGTTTATTTGTACGAGGTTTTAAATTGTGGTTTTAAAACCTTGTGATTCATTGCCTATGATAATTTTTTGTCTCTTACCATGGTCTTGTATTAAAATTTAATTAGGAATTGGATCCAAAAGTTATTAAACAGTTCAAAGAGTAAGTTGACTGAAATCAAATTTAAAAAAGACATGAACTTGGTACAAACAAAACTGATTTTAAAGACATGCTGGGAGTGAAACTTGATCAATGCGTCTGCAAGTAACTTTAGAGCCATCTGTCAAGGGGATAGAGTGATGATGTCTAGGAAAAAAATAATTAAATCTATGGGCTATAACGACACTGTTATAAACAATCCCAAAGACGTAAATACTTCAAAAACAGCCCCATTTACGTAATAAAGTTTTAAAAGAACCCCACTTTAGTCAAAAAGTATGCAAATCACACCATCTAAACAAGGAAAATAAACTTGTCCCCGTTAACAATTAAAGGAAAAATTGTAAATCTAGGACATTACGTACAAGCCAGTAATAACAAACACGTGGAAAAATTTGCTTAAAATAGAAAGAGTTTCTTTCCCGGAAGAAAAACCATCAAATGAAAACAATAAAACAAACAAAAATAGGAAGACAAAGGTTAAGGAAAACAAAAACAGCAATTTCAAGAAATAACAAATAAAAATTAGCAAATATATATCAAGAAAAACACATACATTATTTAGCAAAATCTTTCACCAACAGGAGCAAATTATGTAAGAGAAGTTCAACACCCTACATTTCCAAGTGAGAAAAACAAACATTCCAATAATGGTATTTTTTTTTTACACTCAAATAAATACAACACCCCACCAACACCTTTAATTTGTATCTATTACTCTTTTATTGTCACATAAATCATTAATTATATCAATCACTTATCTTTCATTTTTCATAGACTCTCTTATGCTTTGTTTGGATAAAGAGAGAAGTATGAAAGAAAAATGTAGGATAGCAAGAAATAAAATTAAATAAAAGATGGACAAAAAAATAAGTATATTTTTAAGATATTTGGATTGAAAGAAATAAGAGGGAAGTAAATAATAATAAAAATATTTTTAGTGGGTCTCACAATTTTTCTAAACTTTTTTTACGAAATCTCTCGATCTTTAAAGTTTTTTTTTTAATTTATTTTTACTATACCCTTCTATCATTTTCTCTCTTCTCCCACTACTCATCTTTCAAATATTGGTGTGTAAATAATTCAAAACGATCTAATCTAGATTAAGAAATCCGATTAAATCAATTTATTTTATAAAAGTAGGTTGATTAATCAAACTTATTTTGAAAAGTGGATTTTTTTTAAAACAAACAATGGATTTTGGTATAGACACCTTTTTGGTATTATATATGGTATTAAAAAGAAAATGTTAACATTTCTTTGTTAAAATTATCAAATTTATCACACTTACTCATTTTTTAAATACTTTTTTCTTCTTATGAGAAATATTATTTTAAAAAATAAATATCAAAATAAATGTTATTTTAATTTGCAAATATAATATTAATTACTTATTTTTTTTATGTATATCTAATAATAGTATTACCTTGAAAGTTGTTGGATTATATCTTTATTAATAAAGAAGAATATAATTAATTTTATAAAAATTACTATTTATTTATTAAACTTGTGTAAAAAAATTTAAAATGAACACTTATTATTATATTATAAGACAAATGAAATACTCAATATATTCCTCTTGTATATCATTTTAATCGACACAAATCTTGAAATAAAAATTTAATAAAATTGACATATATATATATATATATATTAATTTATATTATTGATTATTGATAAAAAAATAAAAAGAGTAATATTGGCCGAAAGACATTGATTTTTAAGATGGTGTATTCCATAGTGAAGTGAAGGTAAAGTAAGATGGAATTAACAAAATTTAATGAAAGCAGAGTAGAAGTAAGTGGTAACTGCAATAACCGAACATAGCAGGGTCGGAATTCGGTGATTCGAAAACAAAATCCTATTTTTTCTGGTTATCCAAACACTCTCTCTCTCTCTATATGTGTGTTAGCGCTTGCAGAGAGCATTGAAGAAGAACAAAGATGGTGTTAACTTCAATTTCAATAGTCTCTTCCTCATCTTCATTCCTCTCCGATTCTCCTTCCTCTTCAACCAGACCCTTCTTCCCTTCCTCAAACCGAAACCTTCTTTTCACAAGAAAACCACCACTTCCCAATGCTACCCTCAGAGCCTCTTCTTCTTCTTCCGCGTCGCAGGAAAATGGGTCGCCGGAGCAGTTCCTCAACAGCAATTCCATCGCCGATTTCATGCGTTTCAAGCGCCGCGTCGACGGTGGTGGCAGTGCCGAGTTGCAGACGGCGGTTGTCGGCTACAAGAAGAGGTTCCCTTGGTCCCTTTTGCGCCCTTTCCTTCAGGTCGCCCTAAAGTTTCTTCCTTTGTTCTTTTTTCTCAATTGGGTCTCTTTGGTTTTGATATTTTGATGTTGTGCTGTTTGTTTCTGATGGTGTTGTAGGTTGACTTGGTTTCGACAATTCACATCGCTGATGAAGAGTATGTGTCTTTCCTTCTTAACTTCTTGCTATATTTGTGTTTTGGATTTGGTAGTTGTTAGAAGTGACTTAATTAGTGGGGGTGAAAAATTGGAAGTAAGAAAGGAAGTGGGGAAATTCATTAGGTTCTGTTGGTGATGAGGAGTTTGGGTGGAGACTGAAGTTATAAGATGAACAAGTGTAATATTTTGTCACTGGTTTATGAGGTTTTTTATTTATTTATATTTTTTTTTTATCTTGGTATTGACAGGAGAATCCTCTGACTTTGCCGTCTCATGGTCTTGACTGTGTTAAGGTGTTTATGAGGATGGTTTTGAGGAGTGCCTACACACACTTTAACTCACTCCCACACACTCTCTATTGTTAGTTAAAATTTAGGTTCAATTATTCTTTTAATCCCTATTTTTATATAATTTGATCCCTTAATTTTTAAAATTTTTAAAATCGATGCAATATTGTTTTCCATCTAATTTAGATATTATAATCAGTTTAAAAAGTAATTTCCTAGATTGATTAAAATACAATCGATATATAAAGTCTTATTAAACCTCTTCATATACTCTTCTAGGATTCTTTCACTTTCAAGAATATAATCAATTTAGAAATTAACTTCCTAGGTTGTTTGCAGTATATGTTGGCAGTAACCATCTATTTTTGAGTCGAACTGTTAGACTACCTGCAAGAAAGGTAGATGTGATAAGCAGTTGATGAAAATGATTCTTAATCATGGTAGTGGTGATTACATATTCCTTAATGATTTCATTCAATCTAGCCAACCACAGGGGCTAAACCATAACCCACAAATTTTGGTAATTTCTTATAAATTTCAACTAATGATAAAGAATATGCTGGAAAGAGTGTGTCGCAGAGAATGCCTGTAGGTCTAAGTCTAACA